GTATTTAAACTACTTTAAAAAATTTACGTATAATTATGTCATACGTAATTTTTTAATGCGCTTAGGGCATGCACAATTGGTATTACCAATAGTTTTGTAACTTATTTATAATTATCATTAGCTCTTTTTAAAATTATTATTCTGTTTATCGAGCAAATAAATAAAATAAAAGCCACCCCGATTTCACTTTGCGATAAAAAGTTCTTTTATTTCAGACTGCAAATTTTATTTATTGTTTCTTTAAAAGTGAAAGCAAAATTGAACAGCCTATATATTCATATGTTCTCCTAAATGGAACAGTCTACTCTTCTTTTTTATAGGATAATATGGCAGCTACACAGCTCCAGAACATAATAGCGGACTTTAGTATACGCTAGAGTCTAGAGAATAGGTTTCATTTCTCAAACATGGCGGTTTCTTCGTAATGGTTCCATAAATCAAAGAGCATTTAGTAAATGAGTACGTCAAACTGTATTTTTGAAATTATGTTGCTTATTTTGTTTTTGTGGCGTATAACGTAAGAAAAATTACCCCAGTACGTCACATCATCACATGGGTGTTACAAGAGACTACTATAGATTATACCCAACACCAGATCTGATGGTTTCCGATATATGGCGGTATAACCGCCATTTTATACGTGGTAGAGCCATGTCGCAGCTATATTTCCGGTATAGTTGTAACACGGAGGTGTCGGCTCGACCGGGGAAGGACCACGCTCTCACAGAATACCACCGTAAAATAGCAGCTTAATGCTGCTGTGTTTCGTATGGTGAGTGTAGAGAACCGGAGACCCTTTTTACTGGAAACCGAGGCATTCCACCTTAGTCCTCACGGGTGACAACGCATCTGCGTTTTGATTCGTAACTGAGGATAAATGTAGATGATGTCTATGGGCCACAGCAACCACTTACCATCAGGTGGACTGTGTACTCGTTTGTCACTCTTATGCTATATATATATATATAAATTAACCATGTAATTTACGCCAGGCGTAAAATACCTAGATATGTGGGAAGCAGTATCAATGGGGCAAAACTTTTGGTACGAGTATTGCGATGCGACTCCGCATGCCAAGCGTGACCTCTCTACAATGAGGGATACCCATATCCAGCAGTAAACATTTACGGCTTAATAATAATAATGATGCTAATATTTTTTGTTCTATAAAGAAAAAATGTCTTAGATTATAGGCATTTTATGTAAGACAACCTAAGACTTTATTTTTACAACCAACACTGTATTAAATAATAACCTGCATAATCTTCTCACTTTTATATGCAAATGTAAAAGGCGAATTCCTATCACAGCTTGACCAAGCTCATTTGTACGTTATTTACACAGCAGCTGCGGTGGTTTATTTTAAAACTTGTATTCGTTTATATACTTATACTATTGTATAAATCGTTCTAATAACTAATAGAATAAAAAGAAAAATTCTGTTTTATAAGTAAAAAATAAATAGTAATTTTTTCAAAGTTACAGCCCACTAATTGACAGTAGGCACAGAACTCATTTCTAAAAGGATTTTTAAATTGGTACACTTGGTTCTCAAAATATATTTGATTTCTTTTTCTCACAATGGTTTTCCTTCACTTACAAATAAATCAGCTTAATTAAAGTTGGTAAAAAATTACTTCGCGCACATCCGCTCGATAAAATAAAATTATGTGTTTTAACTAGTTTGAAGAGCACCTCCCGTCATCCTTCAATTGCGTGCACAATCACCGTCACCACTAATCCCAGCACCACTACACTAGGAAAGATACACCACTGACGACAATACACTAGTATTGTCGTCAGTATATTCTACTTTTATAAGTAATTTTTTACCAACTTTAATATAGTGGACTTCCGCAAAGTAACGCCTGATTCTATTAATTAAAAATATCAACACTTATAACTTATTAGTGTCTAGTGTGCTTCGTAATTCAATTCGGTTTGTTCGTGTACGAGTACTACGAAATTTTAAAGTGTGCGCTTGAGCATCCTTGTACAAAAATGGCTCTACTTTAAAATGGTTGGAATAATAAACAATTAGTGAACCTCACAGTTTCATGTGGTAGTCGCGAAAGAGACTCTACCATCTGATTTTGTTTTATGATTGTTGTATGAAGTGACTATGAGAATGCCAGAAAGTTCTCGCTTACGCCAGATTTAATGTGGCCAAATCTGAGACGAAGAACAGCATTAACTGTGCGAGGAGTGCAATTGCCAATCCACCTGCGAAACGTGGTGATTACAGACAGATCCTACCTGCAAATTAATATCATCATGACCGGTGAACTTATACGGGTTGATGAAGAAGTAGGAGTTTCTGTGTTTAAGTATCATAAAGATTCTCCTAAAGAAGAAAAGAGTAAAGAGAAATAATAACCACAGCAGCATCAACCACGACAGCCATCCTCAAATTTATTATATAACGAATGGAATGATCGTTTACATAGAAAAAAAAGCTTTAAATTGCCATCAGATTTCAATGCTGCCTATACCGGGATTAACTTCGGTGGCTCATTTTTTTTTTATAGGATAGGGTGATAAACGAGCACACAGTACACATGATGGTAAGTGGTTGCTGTGGCCCATAGACATCTACATCTATCCTCGTTTGCGAATCAAAATTCAGATACGTTGTCAGCCGTGAGGACTAAGTTGGAATGTCTCTTTTCCAGTAAAAACGGTCTCCGGTTCTATACACTCACCATACAAAATACAGCACTGTTAAGCTGCTATTTTACGCTGGTATTCTGTGAGAGCGTGGTCCTTCCCCGGTGGAGCCGACCCATTCGTGCTACAACTATACTACTAATATAGCTGCGGTATGGCTCTACCACGTACAAATTGCATTCCGTAAAACAAAAAAATATAAAGGGCGGGTTTAATGCATTAAGGCTTTCTCTACCAGTCAACCCATTTTAGTTTTATGATAGAGCCAGACCAGTTTCCTAAATTAAAAATACTGGTGGAAGAAAGAATGAGAGGTCTTTGCCTCTGGAGTAGCACACATTTATAATTAAAAAAAATAATGAATCGTAATAATGTCACTCACTTTCATTTTGGTTAAGTTAAATAAGAGGTGGATTTGGTAGAATAAATAAGTAAGGGTAAATAAGTATGAAGAAATGTCCGTCATCAAACTAAACACGATTCTTTGTTAACAATGCGTTACAGTACAATTCTGAGAAGGTCGCCAAGTTTGTAAAAAGCGAAATGTACTGACATTGTATCAGTACACAATGCGACTCTATTAATGAAGATTAAATAATTTTACGTTTTATATATCATTGTGCATGTTAGCTTTATTAATTAACTAGCATCGGCATCGACTGAACATCTATTAGGACCTTTTAATGTGGCGATATAAATATCATATTAGATTTAAGATAACCGTAGAGTATTTATTTTTTCTATTTAAAAAAAAAAACAAGTTTTTCGGATAAAATACAGCATATCATTACAGTCAGTTCAGCCATTATAAAGATTACTACAAACAGACAGACAGACATAATTTTTAAAATAGTTTCATTTATGTTTTAATGGCACACAAATAGCCCCCCTCGGCTGAATATAAAGCAGTTATTTTGATATTAAAGACAGTTTAATTTAATGTATATGTAAAGATATGTTTGCATGCTATCACTTTTTTAACCTGAATGTTACTTACTTACTTATCTTCACGCACAATCCCTGACGGGGTAGCCAGAGAGAACAGATCGCCAAGTGTCACGATCCTTACATACCTCTTTTGCTTCTTTCAGATTCATTATCTTCTTCATACATGCACGTCTAGGTATCCGAGTACTCTTGACCCTACCCTCTTCGAGCAATTTGCTCACATGGTCTTCGAAAGTTAGTCTCGGTCTACCTCGACACCTTTTAATATTAACTTTCGCGCTATATATTTTCTTCACCATTCGGTCTTCACTCATTCGCTCAACGTGCCCAAACCACCGAAGCACGCCCTTATCAATTTTTGTGATAAGGTCATCTTTCAAACCTGCCATATTGCGAATCTCTTCGTTTCGCTTTCGGTCGGCCATGGTAACCTGAATGTTACAAGGCAAATATTAAAGTAATCGATGGTCGTGCTTAAGGTTTTTTTTTTTATATTTGAATAGGAAACATACTAAAAGCCCATCTCATCGTAGGTGGTTACTGCAGCTCATGAACTAACTTCATAAAAAGAAAGCCACCGGCATGCATTATTGTGATAGAGTCACGGTGCAGCTATTTTATGGTTGAAGCACGAATGGGTTGGCTTGACCGGCGTAAGATCTGCTGTGTTTCGTATCGTGAGTGTAGAGAACCGGAGACCCTTTTTACTGGAAACGAGGCATTCCATCTTAGCCCTCAAGGCTGACGACGCATCTGCATTTTGATTCTTAATCGAGGATAAATGTAGATTTTTATGGGCCACAGCATCCACTTACCATTAGGTGGACTGTGTGCTCGTTTGTCACCCTTATCAATGCGCCCGCCAAGTATAACGATTAATTTTATCAAATAGGGAAGAGGCCCATGTCCAGCAGTGACTTTTTCAAGCTGTAGTAGAAGAAAATAATAAAAAATTATAACCGATATTACAATGGGTCATATTAATAATTTAAAAAAATCTAATTCACCATAAATTTAAAGATCGAGATGCAAGTCACATTTTCATCGTTTGACTAATATTACACCCTCAGCACAAGATGGAAATAAGATGATCAATCTCTTACTTCGTTACAAGTCAGGGATTTTTCCGGACCGATACGACTTAGGGACCTTCAAGAAAAGAGCCTACTCCTTTTTAAAAGGCCGGCAACGCATCTGCAATTCCCCTGGTGTTGCGGTTGTTCATGGGCGGCGGTAGTCACTTACCATCAGGTGAGCCGCATGCTCGTTTGCCCCCTCTCCTATAAAAAAAAAAGAAAAAAAAAGTCATTACCGTGAATACATTAGAATTTTTATTTTTTTATTTACCAAAACAACCTAATAATATACAATTTGCGTTGTTACAGGCAAAAAGGGCAAGACCTGATACAGGCACCGATGTCCGGTAAGTGTAGCCATTTTAATAAGTTATTTTTATTGAGAAACCTAAATATGTTTTTTTTACTAATAATCCCGTTAACCTCTCCTGGTAAGCTTAAAATGCTTGTGTTAGGTTTGGTTCACGTCAGTAGTCAAATGGCAAATTCGAATCCACAACGTTTTGGGTTCGCGATCCGCACCCTACTATTAGGCTACTGTCGCTATTTTGGTTAAACATTACGTTCTTGCTTTAAGTAACGATAGAACCTAATATGATGAATACAATATTGAAAATGAGAATGAAGCAGACGTTGCTAAATATTTTCAATAAACATTACAATGAAAATACAGTTAAAAGATGGCTCCGTGGCGCAGTGGCTTAGCAATTGAGTTGCAGCGCTAAGGGCCGCGGGTTCGAATCCCGCATGGAACAAGTATTTGTATGGCCTACAAATAATTGCTCCGGGTCTGGATGTTTAGCCTTGTGCATTTCCTGTCTGTCCCTGTGCTGTCCCCACGATACAGGAGAAAATTCTAGTGTGGAGGTTACGATTTAAGAAAAAAAAATTAATTGGTCATATTACGTAATCATAAGAAAGTTTTTTACTGATGCGAACATCTTCTCTTCTACCTTAATATGGTATATAAAGGTTATACTTTTTCACTTTCTTCCTAATGCTCATGTTAATATAATTTAAAATTGTAGAATAGTATTCAAGTAACAGAAGAAATCATTGTTTTATTGTAAGCAAAGTCTTAAAATAATAAAAAATTAAGGAAATATTTAAAGCTAAACGTAATTGAAAATGTTAATCCAGTGTACCGTTTACTTGATGGTCTACCGTGAGGTTACGTTCAACGGAAACGATGTTGCCAGAAGCTACCTGTAATATTAAATTTGCATAAAATTATGCTTATAAAGCTGGATGTTTATTTCATCTATGTTTTTATGTAAATAAACGTACACAAATTATGTAAAAAGATTCTGTTTTCGTAATAGAAATACAAGTTCACTATGCTGGTGTACTTTTACGGTTTTAGTTGTGATTTTCAGTGCGGGTGTTAAACGAGCACACATTCCACCTGATGGTAAGTTAATGTTGTGACCTATAAACATCTACTTTTATCCTCGTTTCAAAATCAAAATACAGATGCATTGTCATCCCTGAGGACTAAGATGGAATGCTTCGTTTCCAGTAAAAAAGGGGCTCCAGTTCTTTTTTTTTTATAGGATAGGGTGACAAACGAGCACACAGTACACCTGATGGTACGTGGTTGCTGTGACCCATAGACATCTACATTTATCCTCAATAAAGAATCAAAATGCAGATACGTCGTCACTCGTGAGGACTAAGATGGAATGTCTCCTTTCCAGTAAAATTGGTCTCCGGTTCTCTACACTCACCATACGAAACACAGCAGTGTCAAACTGCCATTTTACGCTGGTATTCTGTGAGAGCGTGGTACTTCTCCGGTCGAGCCGACCCATTCGTGCTACAACTATACTACTAATATAGTTGCAACGTGGCTCTACCACGTATATCTCTATACTCAGTAGTCACTATGGTTTCTGGTACCAGAGAGTACCATATAAAACACAATAGCATTATGTTGCTATTTCACGCAAGTATTCTGTGAGAGCGTGGTTCTTACCCAGTTGACACGACACATTCGACTCATTCTTATACCACTTTAAAAATGGATTTGTTTTATAAAACAGAAGTCACAAATGAACTAATTGTTTGGAGTTAGTTGCAGGTGTCGATGGGCTGCAGCAGCTATTTACCAGCAGGTGGACGCTTTTATAAAAAATATAAATGATTTGACGGTAACGTAGCCCTTTAGTCAAAGCACCAAGCTGCTGTACCATGAGGTCTCGGTTGGAATCCCAACTGGAACCAAAGTTGTGCATAAACACAAGTTGTATCTCAGATAGGACGGACTTGGAACAAGACGCACTAGTGCCTATGTGTGTTGAACGTTCATTATTGACACAAATATATCGACTGCATAGCTAATATATTCCGATTATCCCTAAGTTATCGCCTTTTTACTGTACGACAACTCTTGATATTATGTTGTGATTATTCATGAATCATGATCCACAATGTAGTGATGCCATGACCGAAGTCAGGCTACAATAAAATTAAACACTGGCGTCCCTAAGTTACAACAGTTTGAACCTAGATGGATGGAAGTGGGACTTGGACTATAAAATTTAACATTTGAAATAACTTTCTGGATCAGTTTACATTTTGCCGTCTAAACAAGTTTCGCTCTTAAAAATATTCATCGATATAAATAACTACATCGTACTTTTCGACTACTTAATTCTGTTACAGTTTACACTCAAATCTTCACGCTTTTCCAATCTACTTCACATAACAATAGCAAGGGTCCATAATCCCGGCTTAATCCCCATATTGTCGGTACACAATTGCCGTGAAAAGAGCTACTTAATAGAAACTCTTCAATGGAACACGCCCCGGCTTTATCAACAGCTTCACATTATCACGCATTGATCAAAGGAAATGATTTCAATCTACAATGGGTTTTATGTTACAGCAGGTCGATTTAGCAGTTTAAAGATACTTGTTCATTTTTTTCGTTGGGCGAAATGTGTGTGATGACAAAACTAAGTAATATATTTTAATACGCGTGGGTCTTACTCTAGAAATCACGGCTATAAATAAAAGATATAATTTGAATTGATAAAGAGCTGCCGTTCCCGTTGCTGTAGCCCTGCTAATATGTGGTGAGGGTAGAGCATCACAAGGTATTAGTCGGTGCAAATCCGATGTTCTCTTTACGAGTAAATCACAAAAGCAAACATTGCTTCACTATACTCATATAAATATGTATGAATAAGGTATATTGTTTGAACAATAAAATATATTGCACGCCTCATAACGCATAGCGTATTACTGTACTCACGTCAAGGTCAAGCAATTTCGTGATGTTAAAATACCTCTATCATAACCATATTGCACTTATACGATAATATGATAGCCGTATATCAAGAAAACACTAATTAGTCCATCTTATATTTTGTTTGTGGACGTCCGGATGTTGATTTTGTATGTGGACACGATAACTCCCAAAAAAATTGACATGTTAAGACCGGGTTTTATTTATTCGCTTCAGAATTACGTGAACTCGTTCCCTATTTCATATCAATAGCTTAGGCGCTTTCATTTTCTTCTTTAGCTCTTGATAGACAAAGGACAAATGCACCATACATCCGATATCGATTTTATACTTTGTGTAATCGATTTATTTTGGTAATTTACTTTTTTCATCAAAATTAAATGAAATGCTCATGTGGCGTGCACTTTTGGATTTTCCAAACTATTGTATATTTATACGTGGTAGAGCCACACTACAGCTATATTATGGTTCTAATACTGTTACGAGCTTAGGATTCGATACAATTAAAAACAGCCGAGTGAAGTACCAAAATTCACACTTTAATTACACAACACTAATTAGAACTTAAGACCACACTAATAACAAAACACAATTGTACTACTGATCACTTTAGTTTGCAGTTGTATCGCTTCGAAGTATTCGCTTGTATAGCCAATTCAACACTGCCTGGGTCGTGGTCTATACCGGCTATATATAGGGCCTCAGATAATTTCCAGAACCTTCTACTGTAGGAACATCTAGAATGTTCGAGTACATACTGGTCCTGACTGACTAAGTGTCGATAGTTCTAGAAAGTTCTTCCATGGAAATTTCTAGAAGGATCTTGACTCTATACTACTCGATAATAGAGGGCGGTAGTGGTAACTAGTGTTGCCATGTACCGGGCATTAACGGTGGCGCTCAAAAATAGTAGGCGAGAGTAGAGAACTGGAGACCCCTTTTACTGGAAAAGAGGCATTCCATATTAGTCCTCGGGGGTGACAACGCATCTGCATTTTGACTCGTAATTGGGGATAGATGTCTATGGACCACAGCGTCCACTTACTATCAAGTTGACTGTGTGCTCGTTTATCACCCCATCCTATTAAAAAAAAACAATATATTGAATGAAATAATTCAATCTTTACTGACATTTACTTTGCAAATTCCTAAATCAAAAAGCCTTATTCCATACGAAAAATATGTATTATGATCCAGAAACTTTCAAAAAAAATCTTGAAATTATGACGTATTTTATGAAATAATATTAAAGTTTTAAGCGAATTCACATTCAAACGCAGATAAGCGACTTCATTTTATACTAATTAGTGACTTATAAAGGTCCAGTTAATATATCCATGTTCTTAGTCTTTAGTTCTTAGTCTTCAATTTAATTAATTTACAAATTTAAAGACAAGCTGAATTTTGTTAGAAGTTTAACTGTCACCAATTATTTAAATGGAAAATTTCTATTGAAATCTTTCACGCTATTCAGTCAAAGGAAAAAATAATGATAAATGGATTCTGGCATTCGACGAGACGCATTCCAATTTAGGCAACGAATTAGTTAGGTTAATTAGTGGTTAACACGACGTTCGTCTTTCCTTTTTTAACTGTTTTAAAATATGTAGTGAATTCTGAAGCCGCGATATAAATCAATTTTTGGACCAATTCTATGTTTTTTTTTATTTTGACAGCCAGGATCTACAGTGTCACATGACAGTTCCGTTTTTTACATTTCCTTTAAGTATGTTTGCCTATGAAGTGGCAATTAAGTTCTTTAAAATCGCAGACGGATGCTTTGGCTAAGCAAAAGAAAATCTGGGAGTTTTTTACACTAGCTTTTATTTAGTAGTTATGTCAGTGACGAGCGCGAGTCTTAGTATAAAGAGTCACTGACTACTCTATACAGGGTTATTTTGCAATAACCGGCCAAATTTCCAGACAAGTTTCAGAACAAGTAAATATATCCAAATGGTGAAGAAAACTTAATTAAAAAAAATCTCAAAAATGACTTGGCACGCACATATTCGTAAGGGTCGATCGGTCGGTAAACACGTTATGAATTGAATCGCACACAGAGGATCGCGCGTACGCGTAGTTGTTGCATATAAATCA